CTGCGGTCAACGTCTTGCCAGCTAGGTGTGCCAAGGGTGGCAAAGTACATGTTCCTTCGATATACCTTTTGAAGCCTCCTCGGTACTGTACATGTGCAGCAGTTTCCTCCAAACTTTGGAATCCTTGAAGCAAGCGGAAGTCATCATTGCAAGCTTTTCTTCTGGGCGAGCTGTCTCTGTGTGTGCGAATGTCAAGCCAACCTGCTCGCATTCCAACTCAGCCCAAAATCCGAAAATCGGATGAATGTGGATGAATCAGGATGGGCCATCAGCCATCAGCTGTGACAACCAGCGAGAACTTGCAACAGTGCAGGGGTGGCTGTCCAACCCCTGGTGTTTCATGGTGCCCACGGGGCAAAAACATGTGCCTCCCAGGGCCACACACTGAGACAAGAATAGTACAAGTCATGATATACCAGCAGCTGCTTGTGCAAAAAAAAATCCAGGATTGCATGCATAATCAAACATCTAATGATCTCATCCATTGGTCACCAATCATTGGTCCCATGGGGAAGGCATAATTGTGGGGCTACAGCGTGTAGGATGTGTAGTTGATGTCATGCAGGGCGCGCCTCGAACGGGCCGTCAGCCTATTGGCGCCCTGGAAACTCATCAACCCCAAGAAAGTAGATATGGACTCTCAGCTTATCATTGGCACATCTGCTTAGCACCATTTGCATAAATATTAAAATGGCTCTCCCTTCCCAGCCCTGTCGATTTCCAGAGGTGGAATTGTTCCTCCTCATTTGAGCTGCATCGAACACCTCTTCCCAGCATTCGAATCTCCCGAGGGATTTCCCATTGAACGTTGTCCATGAGATTCCATGAGCCATCACTTTCGCAAGGTCTTTGAAGCAGCTCTCTACCAACCGTCGCCGGCCGGTCCACTTGGTGTGGGAGGCAGCTGTTTTGGAGCCCACAGGGCCAGGGATGGATACCCTTAGATGCCTAGAAATGCCAAGACACTAAGCACTGCAGGCTGTAACTGTGCAGCCTGCACCCATATTGGCATTCAGACTTCTGCATTACTTGCGAGCCTCTGGTCAGTCCCCGGAGATCTCTGTGGATCTGCATGGAAACCCAAAAATTTGGAGCTACAGCCCCCCCTTCAGCTCTTTGATCATGGTGCCCATGTACGGCCCAAACTCTGAATTTGTTTATGCTGTCGGTACTCGCTGTCGAGTTTGTGTCCGGCAGCTCATTTGCTGGGCACAGCCAGCCAGTTGTAGGAACAAAACTTTGCTATTTCTAAAGACCAAATGACCTAATTCCATTATCGAATCCTCAGTGAAATCATGCTATCTGAGTGACCCAGAGTTTGTACCGAAACCTGTGCCCAGAGCAAAAAGGGGAGGTTTTAGAGTATATGTTAGTAGGTGCGGTGGCCTGTTTGTCTGTTGGGGCCCCTCCCTTTTGAAACTATGTATGAAGTGGTTGGCGTTTTTTTTATAAACTACTTGACGCTATTTAAAAGTTATCTGAATTTTTTTAAAATATTTTTATTTATTAAAACGTGATGTTATTTGTTAAATATGGTGTAAATTTTGCATTCTTGAATGTTTTCCCTTGGTTGCGGGCCTGGTTCCACATGGTGGCAATTCTAATTTCTATCATGCCTGCCCAAAAACTCCCAGGATCTTGGTTATCGTGTGATAACACATCAATTCTCTAGGTACTCCTGGATAAAAATTTGAAAGAACCACTGAAAACTGAAAAAAAACGGCCACGCGGTCGTCTTGCTCACTCGGATCCCTGAGTACGCTTCTTCTCTATTTCTTACATATAATATCCCTGGTCCAAGAAACGTGAAAGCATTTGGCATTTTACATTCGTATATTTTTGAACAGCAGAATCGGCGCAATCAGCGTAATTATGTTTTTTTTTAAATACTATTCATTCTATGATGACGATATATTGTTCCGACATGTTCCGACAAGAGACCCCAAACAGTGTGGGGGAGCCGGAGCATAATGCATGATAATGTGGGTGATGAAAATGATGACGATGATGATGGTGATGGAGAGGATGATGGTGATGGTGATGAAGATGAGGATGAGGATGAACATGCGGAAGATGAAGTGGAGGATGAAAAGGTGGAAGATGATGTAGAGCAGGAGGAAGGTGATTTTGAGCAGAAAAATGATGATGGTGCTGATGGTGATTATTAGGATGATGGTGATGATGATGATGATGGTGAAGATGTTGATGATGGTGAGGATGATGATGATGAAAAAATGAAAATGCGGAACAGGAAGTGGATGATGAAAGGTGGAGGTTGATGATGTAGGGAAGGAGAGGATGATGTTGGGGAAGATGATGTTGAGAAGGAAGGCCGATCCCAAGACCGGGACCCACACTTTGTGCGAGCCTGCGCAGTCGAAATACACTTCAACATTTCACAAGAGCCACTTTATACGGAAATTTACGGGTAAAATGCCGCAGGCCAAATTGAGCCCAGAAACCGGACACACACTTTGTGCGAGCCTGCGCAGTCGAAATGCACTTCAACATTTCACAAGAGCCACTTTATACAGAAATCTACAGGAAAAATGGCGCGCCCCGGATTGAGCCCAGAACGCGGGCGCACATTTTGTGCGAGCCTGCGCAACCGACATGCATTTCAAAATTTCAGAAGGGCAACTTTATATGGAACTATACAGGAAAAATGCCGCGCCCCGATTAAGCCCAGAACGCGGACACACACTTTGTGCGAGCCTGCGCAGTCGAAATGCACTTCAACATTTCACAAGATCCACTTTATACGTTAAATTTACGGGTAAAATGCCGCAGACCAAATTGAGCCCAGAACGCGGACACACACTTTGTGCGAGCCTGCGCAGTCGAAATGCACTTCAACATTTCACAAGAGCCATTTTATACGGAAATTTACGGGCAAAATGCCGCAGAACAACTTGAGCCCAGAAACCGGACACACACTTTGTGCGAGCCTGCGCAGTCGAAATGCACTTCAACATTTCACAAGAGCCACTTTATACGGAAATTTACGGGTAAAATGCCGCAGGCCAAATTGAGCCCAGAACGCGGACACACACTTTGTGCGAGCCTGCGCAGTCGAAATGCACTTCAACATTTCACAAGAGCCACTTTATACGGAACTATACAGGAAAAATGCCGCGCCCCAGAGTGAGCACCCTGATCAAGCACCGGCCTTTACACTTTACACCTACGTAAGAACCCCTCAGTGTGGACACACCGTTTGGGGAATAAATTCATGATTCATGATACCATACCACATCATAGAATATGAGATTCTTTTTGATTCAGATTCACGGCCATCGCAAAGTACGAAGCTCGGATGCCGGATGGGGTTGCCATAACTCACTGCTTTGAAAGGGCCAGGATTGATTTCGGACAGTTGTCTTCAGCGCAAAAAACAAAAACATTCAAAGAAAATATGTTGCAAAATATTGGAAAGACAAGGTGGTTTGCAAATAGCTTCAAACGGTTTGAAACGGTTCTGCACTATGTATACTTTGACAGTGACAATGTTACAAATAGCGCGGAGCGGTTTGGAACGGTCCTACGCTGCTTAATCATGATATCTATAAATAGCGTAGAACCGGTTTGAAACGGTTCCACACTATTTCAACATCCACTAATCCGGGTATGACGTGCAAATAGCCTCGAACGGTTTAGAAGGGTTTTAGACTATTTAAAAACCAATTCACAAACAGCGCAGAACGGCTTGAAACGGTTCTACACTGTTTGCGCAGCAACATATTTGTCAAATAGCGCGGAACGGTTTGGAACGGTTCTACACTATTTATGCCGCAACGGTTTGGAACGGTTCTACACTATTTATGCAACATATTCTTCAAATAGAGCGGAACGGTTGGGAACGGTTCTACACTATTTATGCAACATATTCTTCAAATAGAGCGGCACGGTTTGGAACGGTTCTACACTATCTCCCAGCCCACGCACGACGTACAAATAGCGTAGAACGGTTTTAAACGGTTTCACAATATTTATAATATTTTATAATCCCTGATCATTTCAAAACGGCCAAAAAACGTTTATAAAAAGTTTCCAAAACAACTTTTGTATACTTTTGTCTGAAATCTCTCCGTATGAAAGCACGATCACTCATATCAATATCAAGTATCAATCTATCTTATCACTCTTTCAAAAACCATGCAGAAACAGATCCCCCAACTTACGCTCATACATGGCATTGTCAAAGTTCACCATCCATGTTACGGACTTGCGACACCTAATTTGTAATTAGTAATGGTAAATTACTACCCAGGGCTGCGTAAGAGCTCACCAGCCCATCCACATCAACCAAGAGCCCGCAAGGGCAGCATAGTTGGATAGCCAAACTTTCCACCTCCCGAGCATTCATGAGGTTCCATCGCAAGGTTCCAGAAAGGTTTGAGAATACTTGTCCATGGGCCCATACGGAACAATCCCCAAAGTTTCGCAGCAATTCTTGACGAACAGGCACCGGCACTGGGAAACATCAACGGCCCAAGCTAAAAACTGATTGGGGAAGGTTTTTCTTTTATATATAGTTTCATACTTTGTTTCATTAGTTTCCAAAAGGAATTTAAAGGATTTTCCTTTTCTCCCCGCGAAACCGGAGTTGAAAGCGAACAGAAAAATGCCAGTCTGGATCCCAGCTTATGACATGGCAAAGTCCTGAAGCAGAGCCAACCCCTAACCTCCCCAGTATGTTAACGGTGTCCTGCGGGGTAATGTTGTGTGTAGCTGTCCCAGGAGCAAAATATTTTCTCGACGTACATAGGGATCAAGGCTTGGGCGAAAGGTCTTGGATGTAGGCCAGCACACCATCCGGCTGTATGATGCCGCACTTAGATGCGGTGTGGCGTTTGGTGTTGTTTCTTTACCGGAGGCATGGTGTTCGCTTGGCCTAGCTACATACTACTGGTACTGGGGTCTGCTTGTGTCAAAAAAACAGTACAATGCATTTGCAGCATGCATTTAATGGGGCACCTCCAGCATGGTATGTTTTTGTT